AGGGTTCGTTGACGGTACCTTTAGGCGAGCAGCTCAACCAAAAAGTTTTTAGCCACAATGGGACCGATGTAATGTGGTTGTACTCTCTTGGATCATAAATTCTGTAGACAAGGATTTGTCAAATGGATTAACATTTTTTGAAATTTGAAAAGGTTTGGGACGATCTCAAGGAGAGATTTGACAAAAGAGATGCAACAAAAATTTTCAGTCTCCAGAGAGGTGTGTAAATACTCTAACTCGAGGTTCAATGTTAGTATCTCAATATTATAGCAAGCTTAAGGATCTTTAGGATGAACATGCCACTATAGTTGTCATACCAACTTGCCAATGTTCAACTTCGCTTGAATATACTCGGATATTCTAAGAGCAATGGCTTTTTCAATTTTTAATGGGTTTGAATGACTCTTATAATCAAGCTTGATGTCAGATTCTGCTAATGCTTCCTCTACCTATGGTCAACCAAGCTTATGCCATGATATCACAGGATGAAGAACAATGAAACCTTGTGACTAATCCCCCTAATACATCAAGGGATACTACTGTGATGGCTGCTAGAGGAGGAAGAAGTGGTAGAGTGGGACATTCTAATAGAGGCAGAGGAAGAAATATGATTGAAGAAGAATGCACAAACTATTATAGAAAGGGGCATTCACGGGATAATTTTTAAATTAGGAGCATTTTAGTCTTTTAATTTAGGAAACTATCATCCCATTATATTTATAAACACATAACAAATAAATTAAGAATTGGATGGTCTATATTTGATCTTCTATATAATATTTCATTTCATTTTGTTTTACTATATTTTTAAATCATTTATATTAATTTTAGCTATTTGAATTTTATTATTTTATATTTTTATAATTTAAAATTTTAATAATAATTTTATGGGAGAGAAAATCTAAATTATTAAAATCTTGATTTAATAGTTAAAATGGGAAAAGAAGAGATAATGATGGAAAAAGAAGAAGAGAGAATCTTCGCCTGTCATTTTGTTTTTGAAAATACTTTTATACATAATTATCATTTAATGATTTTTTAAAAGTTTTAAATTTTTTAAAAATAATTATAAAGAATATAAAAAATTAAAATTAAAATCATGCATGTGTACACATTTTTTTTTTGAAAAAAATGGCCCCCTCAACTTCAAAGGTTGGTTCTACCCCTAGGAGATCCTATTTTATAATTTCTAAATTGTCCTTCTTTGCTTCTCTCTATATTTTTTCCACATGGTTTTCTCATTGACAAATCTAGATTTAATAAATTATAATTTAAAAATATGAATTAAAATTTTTTAAAAATAAAAATAAAAATAAGACATCAATCTCAACTGATTTAATAGCTAGTTCTATTACAAGTAAAAAGAGAAATCAAAGAAATTTTTAAATAATTTTAATTATATAATTAATTTTTCTTGGTTTGTATGAACTAATTACAAAATACTTACTCTTATTCAATATTATAAAACATTTTTTAAAGTATTATGTTAAAATATAGTAAGTCATTTTGAGTCTTTTAAAATGCAATTAATAACATTTTTTAAAAAATCCTTAGTTAGAAGACAATTAATTAATTGATATATTAAAATGTGTAATTTAGTTAAAAAATATTTTATAACATTAAAAAGGAAAGGAAGGGGTAATGTATTTCCCAAACGCCCTGCAAGGAGCCAACCCAATGAAAATTCATTGACGTTTTGACATGTTTAGGTTGTGGATGAGTTGTTTGATAGGCTCCTTTTCGTGAGCGTCTTTCCTCTCTTCGTGAGAACCCTTCTCCTCTGTGAAAGCCCTTTTTCACTGCCTTGTTGTGTACGACCCCTCTTCCTCTTCGAGGAGAGGTTTATCTGATTCTTCCCTACCTATCTTTGCTTCCCACTTCTCCCTTTCTTCTTTTTCCCTGCCTCGAGTGAGTGAGTGTTTTTCCTCCTCTCCTCTCAGTGAGTGTGAGTGTGTGTTGATCGTTCTTGATGGTGTGCTATGAATAATGGTGTTCATAGGTTCGATTAGTTTTGATTTTACTCAAAAATCAAATTGAATCGAACAATTTATTTTACTCACAATTGGGACTTGATGATTTTTGGGGAGTCAGTTTGATTTGGTTTAATTTTCGATTTGGTTCAGTTTGATTAAGGTTAGATCGGGTTTCAACGCACTTGTTTATTTTTTTTCTTTTTTCCATCTTCATAATAGTACTATGTATTAAAATTAAATCTAATTCTTTTTGACTTCTTTTTTTCATAAATAGAAATATAAAAATATAATAAAATTTTAATGAGATAACGATAATTAATCATAAAAATTGATTTAAGTTTTTAAGATTAAAATTATTTAATATTATACATTTCCATTCAAATCCTTTAATAATGTTTATCTATATATCTATATTTTTTATTTTACTCAAATGGGACTTGATGATTTTTGTGGGAGTCAGTTTGGTTTGGTTTAATTTTCGATTTGGTTCAGTTGATTAAGGTTTAGATCGGGTTCCATGCACTTTGTTTATTTTTTTTTTCTTTTTTCCATCTTCATAATAGTATATGTATTAAATTAAATCTAATTCTTTTTGACTTCTTTTTTCATAAATAGAAATATAAAAATCTAATAAATTTTTAATGAGATAACATAATTAAATCATAAAAATTGATTTAAGTTTTTAAGATTAAAATATTTAATATTATACATTTCCATTCAAATCCTTTAATAATGTTTATTATATATTCTATATTTTAATAAACAATGAAAAAATTTATTATATAAAATTCAAAACAATATGCTTCTTGTAGATAAATTGAATATTGAGACTTTCAAGTTGTAAATAATTAAATGATGATCATAGCATCATTATTATAATTATGTAATATTATGTATTTTCATTCAAGTCCTTTAAAAATGTTTATCTATTATTATTAAAAATTCAAAATAAAATACTTCTTGTAGATAAATAGTTATATATTTTATAAATAAATAAGTAATATTTTTTAATTAAGTTTGATTCGGTTTGGTTCGGTTTTTATACTCAAAATCAAATTTGAACCAAACCAATCAGTTCTCCTATCATAAAAATTGAAGCAGGCTTATTGTTAGGTTTTCAATAATTTCTTTCAATTTGGGTTGGTTTAGGTTAGTCCTTTCAATTAGATTGGTTTTTAATACCCTTATCTGTAAGTGTGTTTCTCTTGGGAGTTTCCGTAGGCGGCATAGATGTTGAGGACGACAGGGGTCCCGACGGCCATAACATAATGGTATTCAAGCAGACAATGAAGTCAATCTCGGGTGGCAGACTGAAGAAGAGGTCAAAACTCTAGTCGGGAAGCTCATCGCCCCAAAAACTCAAAACAAAATAACAAGCAAAGCCATTATAGAAAGTGCTTGGAGCGTTTGAGGAAAATTTTCCATCACTAATCTGGCGACAACCTGTTTCTGTTCAACATTAAAAAGGAGAGAAGAGCTGCTTCGTATCATGAAAGAACAACCATGGATATACAGGGCTTTATTCTCTAGTGCGTGAGTTAAATCCTTTTTATTGATGATTGTCCTTTCTGGATGCAGGTTCATGGTATCCCGGCCGCGAGTATGTTCTATGATAACATACTCACATTGGGAAACAGAGTGAGTAAAGTTATAGCTTCTGAAGAGCCCAAGAGTAACAGAAGCGTCCATTGAAGTTTTTTTTTTTTTCGTATCCAAATTATTCTATCTTCATTGAATCCACTGGTCGACGGATTCTGGGTAGCGAGACCAAACAAAGCTAGTTCTTGAGCTTGAGTCAAATATGAAAGCTCCAGCTCTTTGTTATAATTGTAGGAGATTTGGACATGATAATCGAAGTTGTGAATTTGATCAAAGTTGGTCTGAACAAGATCCCACAAAGGGATTTCCAGGACTAATAATTTGGCTAGTAATTGGATAAATAAATTTTGTTACAAAAGGGGTGAGCTCTTTATGTGTGGAACTCTGATCCCCATCTCCCTTTTACTTGCATTTGATGTTCTTCATCTTTCTAATGTAATGACTTAACTTATCAATAAAAATAAAATATCAATCTCAACTGGTTTAACAACTAGTTCTATTACAAGTAAAAATAGAAATCAAATAAGTTTTTAAATAATTTTAATTATATAATTAATTTTTCTTGTTTTGTGTGAACTAATTATAAAATACTTACCCTCTATTCAATATATAATATATTTTTTAAAGTATTATGTTAAAAATTCAATTAATTAGAAGACAATTAATTAATTAATTTATTAAAATGTGTAATTTAGTTAAAAATATTTTATAACATTAAAAAGGAAAGGAGGGGGTAACGTATATTCCTTTTCCAAACGGCCAGCAAGGGTCAACCCATCGAAAATTCATTGGCGAATATTGTTCTTAGTTCTTTTTGACTATTAGTTTCCCCGTTTTGATCCAAAAAAAAAAAAAAAAAAAATTTCATTGGCGACAACTCATTAACAACGCTTGACACCACACTACGCGTACCCCATCAAATAGCTTACTTGGGATCCGTTGTCGTCTAATCCGCCATTACTCACTTGACCCGTATTTTCCTCAAGTCTTCACATTATATCATCCATTATATTAATTAATTTATTAATTAAAAATATCCTCATCTCACATGCTCTCCTTCATCACCCCAAATTATTAACCTTAAATTATTTTAATCTCAATTTCGGCCAGCGACATGCCTTTTTTGTCCCATCTTATATGTCTCCATGTTGAGTTAATAATTTTAGTCTGATTTATTTATTTTATTATTCAACTTATATATATGCTTTCAATTATATGCATTATATGAATAACATTAATATTAATTGTTAAGCGAAAAAAATGAAAAATGAAACCCGACCTGACTTATAAGCAAAGCAACCATTGGAGGATATTTTATTTTATTTTTCTTTTATAATTTTCAACCCACAATAATGTGAAGAAAAACAAAAAAACCAATAATATTAATTGAAAATGAAGTGGTTGAAGCTGGAGAGAGATTCTGATTTCTGGAGTTGAAAGGATTATTTTTGTTTATTTGAACAACTTTGACATTTCTCTATCGTTCCGACTAGGGACGCAGATGCAGAGGCGAGACCTTCGAGGTCAAGCTGTGAGCTTTTGATTTCTCAAGCGGCGCCGCTTGTTCACTTGCGTATCCTTCTTCCGATGGGCGATGACCAATCGCCGACCATAATGGCCAACAGAGACAGAGACAGAGACAGAGATCGGGAACTTCTTATCCCGGTGGCCGGTTCCGGCGATGATGGTGCCGCTTCTAAGCCTTCCTCCTCCTCCTCCTCCTCCTCTCATCACGCTGGCCGCGAGGTGATTGATTCTTTCATTGCTTTTGGTTTTCTATTTGTTCGTGTGTGCTTACTTGTTACGGAAATTCAACTGTTGGAGATTAATCAAGGCCTTGGTTGAATCGCCTGTTACTGCTGCGGGCATGGTTGCTACGATTTTCAGCTGAATTGAAGCTTGATTGCTTTCTAAGCACTTTTGTATTGAACATATCATGAGTTAAACTGCTTTGCTATTGCTAATCCCCCAATTATTTTCTCCCAGGCCTGTTAATGTGATGACATTTATTGGTTGATCCGTTTAAGCAATTTTTTTCTGATTGCAATTTTGAGCAACAATGAATGGCTATCTCATTAAGCATGTCAATTTTCACTAGATTTACATTCTTATATATTTGAAGTTAAATGATTTTCTCAATTTTTTTTTTTGGTAAACCGCTTTTCTCAAATTTTAATACCTGACGAGAGTTATCTCTCTATTTTAGCTGTATATTTTATTTCTCTCTTTCTGCCTTAAGTATTTGTCTGATAGATTGCAGTTTTTGTTTGTTTCTTTGTAGACGTTTTACAAAGTTGTTAGGAGCTGGGCGTCTAAAAAGTTCATGACTGGATGGTGCGTAATCCTTGTTTTCTCACGTCAAATTCGAATCTTGGTGTTCTTGCCTTGGACGTGTTCTATTCTATTGCTTATTCTTACATTCGCATGCGTGCTCATATGGCCTACCTATTTTTGACTATTGTAGTTGTCAGGCTGCTTTTCCAAACTCTATTGTCCATTATCTAAACCAAATGCACACTAGCAATTTTTAGTCTTTTTCCATCTCTATACATAAAGAGACACATGTAATTCAGGGCTTGCAAGCTGAGGCATGGTACATTATACTATGCAAAAGTTGTCTAGTTTTCGTGCGATGATAAATAAGATTTCTTTAGAATCAGTCAACACTGTCACAAAGAAGACAAAAATAGGGATAAACTATGGCAAGTGAAAATAAGCTTAAAAGAGAAATCTAGCACGCTTTTATATTGGACAGGGAAACTCACTCAGAAATACATGAGCTGGAAGACAAAAAGGGCTAGAGAAACAACCCGATCCTACAAAAGATGAATAGATTAGGAGGGAGTGATGTCTTGTCATACTTTTTTTTTTGAAATTGTCTACTTTCATTTGCATCAGACCGGCAATGTTATATAGTAGTGAATGCTGGGTTCTAACGGGACAGCAAGAGCATAAAGTTGGAGTAGTAGAGATGAGAATGTTACGATGGATGTGCGGACATACACGTAAAGATAAAATTCGAAATGAGCACATACGCGAAAAAGTGAGGGTGGCACCTATTGAGGAAAAAATGGTAGAAAATCGGTTGAGATGGTTTGGGCATGTACAAAGAAGACCAAGGGAGGCACCAGTGAGAAGAGTGGAACATATAACTTTGAGTCCGATTAAGAGAGGTAGAGGAAGGCCTAAGAGAACACTCTTGGAAGTTGTTGAACGCGATCTCTTAATTAATAATATTCCTAAAAGCTTGATAAATGATAGAGAACAATGGCGTCTTGCAATCCATGTAGCCGACCCCACCTAGTGGGATAAAGGCTTGTTGTTGTTGTTGTTGTTGTCTACATTCATTTGCATAAGAAAAATTCCACTTTCATCATTTTATTGTCCATTTATGCATTAATGCAGCTTGATGAACTCCTAGAAGATGGACACTTCTTCAATTAACTTTACTTCTATTTTTTTTTTCCTAAACACTTCTAAGGCGTGAAAAATATTTATCCTTTCAAAAATAGCTGATCAGCTAGGGTGATTGTATGCCATTTGAAAACTGCTATTCATGTTCTTCTCATGGTAATACCAAATAATACCTAGCTGCTAACTGCTTTAACGAAAGCTTGATTATTTTGAGAGACTTATAACTGCAATATCAGAAAATGCAACAACTTATTCTAATGCTCCCAAATCTGACTATCACTTTGTTTGCAGTGTCATTCTCTTTCCAATCGCAATAACATTCTATATAACATGGTGGTTTATTCATTTCGTGGATGGATTTTTTTCTCCTATCTATGCTCAACTTGGAATTGATATTTTTGGTAAGTGGTTTCGGAATCTACTTTATCCCTTCACCTCTCATGCAACAAATGTATGTGACAAGATGTCTGCAAATCAGTGGTTTTTTTAATCCACGACACCTTATAATCAGCAACATTTGTCTTGAGCATAAAATATTGTACAAAAACCACTTTCTTGTCTGAGGTTTTCAATGCACGGAACTATAGTTTTCTTGGGCATGTATTGTGATAATTAATTTTATCTCTATTTCAATATTTTCTGTCTACTTTTCCTGGGATTGGAAGTAAAAAATATGTAACTCAGTGCGGCAAAACTAACGAAGTTATTAATGGGGAATAGAAATATAGCTAATTATCCTCTCCAATCTTTCATTTTACTAATCGTATGGCCTTCTAGTAGTAATTATGTTGCAATCATTTGCTAATACATTTTTTTAATCAGGCCTTGGATTCATAACTTCCATAACTTTCATCTTCTTGGTCGGGGTTTTCATGTCATCATGGTTGGGTGCATCTGTCCTGGGCCTTGGGGAGTGGTTTATCAAGCGAATGCCACTTGTGCGCCATATTTATAATGCCTCCAAACAAATAAGTGCTGCTATTTCACCAGGTTTGTATTCAAACAACTTTTGAGCTTGATTGGAGTGTGATAACTTGGGGGAGAGTAATATATGTTACTATTTTCACAAAAAATAAAATTAATATATGTTAATATGTGCTGTTACAGATCAAAATACACAAGCCTTCAAAGAAGTGGCAATCATTCGGCATCCACGAGTTGGTGAATATGCGTTTGGATTTATCACCTCTTCTGTTACCCTTCAGGTTTATGAAGAACTTCAATGTTTCTGTTTTTTAAATAAATAAATAAATAGATATTCGCAGCATTGTTTGTATTTTTGAATACGAGTAGAATGTTTCTCCGTGTAGCTATGAGGTTCTTATTACTTATATTGTAGATTCGTAGTGCTGGTTGCCTTTGGCTGAGTTATGTTGGTCTGAAAGGAATGATTGGACTTCCGAGTCACTGCAATGCCAATTATTGTTGCTCATGGGATTCGTACTTCCCTTGATACATTTTTTTGATTCATCTGAAGTACATATTGTTGATGCCTATATGGCTTTGCTTGACAAATTACAGCATTGGTATTGAATCCTATTGTTTTGTTTATTTGTATTTTTTGGGAATTCCTGTTTTAGATTGAAAACTCATTGGAAGGCTGGGCCAGTTATTATGCCATATTATTGTTTTTTTTTTTCACCGGTGAGATTGTGGTTCATTAACTTACACGATTGCATCTACAATTCTTATTCTGTTGATTAGTTTGTATTTGAAAGCTAATTATTAAATTCCTTGCCCTTGGTTGTTTATCTTTAGAGCACATTCTAGACGTACTCCATAATTAGTTGTTTTTCTTGATGCCCCTCCTATGTGTTTACAGTTTACTAGATGTTAACTGTTTGTCCGTAAAGTTTAAGCTGAAGATAAATGCCCTTGATGAAAAATTCTATTATTAGATTTGTAGAGTTTATGTAGCTTGTTAAATCTCACATTTTTCTCTCGCAGAGCTATTCTGGAGATGAGGAGCTATGCTGTGTCTATGTTCCCACGAACCATCTTTATATTGGTGATATATTTCTCATCAACACACGTGATGTCATCAGGCCAAACTTATCTGTCCGTGAAGGAATCGGTGAGTAAAAGTCTCTTTTTAAGTATAGAACCCTAATCAAGTTAATGCTGACTTGAGCTCTAAGCTATCATCGTTGAGCATTGGCTGTTTAGGGATAGATGTTGGCAATTAGGCATTTTTCTTTTGGGAGAATGACAGCTAAGGACCTCTTAAAAAAGGCTAAATGCCAACTCAGGATTTTTTAAAGATTTTCAGTGCTGAAACATAGGAGGATTAGTACTGAATTTAGGAACCTAAATTATGATGAGACCCTGATTAAGCATTAATTTTCTTATGAGATCCTTAGTTATCATTCTTCCTTTTCTTCTTTTCTTTGGCGAAACAGCCAGGCATGGATTGATCAGACTTGAATTTGTAACATATAATACTCGATTAGTAAGTTGAAAATGGTATGAACATTATTGCAGAAATTGTTGTTTCTGGAGGGATGTCAATGCCACAGATTCTGTCCACGCTGGATTCACGCTTGGTAATTAGTACAAGTGATAGAATTAGACCTGACAGAAGCTGACAGGGAAGTCTCGGCTGGTGTTCTACTACGTTCTTTCATTCCACATGGAGCCATCAGATAGGCCTTAATGCAATCGGTATGTGTTTGGAATGCAAATTTGAATTTGTTGAATTATGAGAGTGTTTCATATTCTGATGGCACTTGTAACATTCATTCCTTTGTAATATAATGTAGAATTTATTAGGCGTTTGCTTGGAAATCTTGTTTCAGAATGGCGCCATTTGCTTACTCCTGCAGATGAAATTGCCTTAGCTTGTTTCAGCATATTTCGTTTTTTTTTTTTTATGGGTTATAGAGTATTTTTGACTTGAAAGTAGTTTTGGAGGAGGTTACAAGTATTCTTAAATGAATTATGGAGTAATATAGCACATAATCTTTCAAACTAGGTACAATTTCGCCATATTTTAATAGGGACATCTCTTGACCCCACATCGAACCTTAAGAAAGGTCAATGTTACACTAGCTTTGAAGGATCGTGTTATATTGTTACACAATTTTTTTAAAATGCTATTTTCTTTTAGAAATACTTGTTGTGCAAAAATACATTTTAAATCATTGTATTATTAAACCCCTTGTTTTTAATTAGTAAGTGGCAAAAATAATATTTTGATTTTATAAATATAGTCAAGAAGTCATTAATCTTAGATTGCACATCCTATATGGAAAATGGGTTTGAGTTATGGGGAAATGTAATGAAAAGTAGTTTTATTATATTTAGTGTGGGTTTGGTTTACAGTTTGTTATTAGTACATGTCAAATTAAATTTTGGATAAAAGTTTATTATTCTGTCTGGAATCTGGTTACAGTTTGATATGTAATATTTGTAATGTAAATACGTTGAATAGAAAATAAATAAATATTTGTATAGACATTTAAAAGAAAATTTAACATGGCTAATTGCTCCATTAGTAATGCACAATATAATTTCTAATTGAATCATACACAATTTATTTCTCTTGAAAACAATTTATTTCTCTTGAAAAAGTTACAATTATAGTTGAGGATGGATATCATTGATCACTACTAACATATGATTAATCATATTTTCGTCCTAAAAATGCATAAGTTCAGCGTTAGTCGCAGATTTTCTTCTAATAAACTCGTGTATAACCATGGTAACAAAAAATATATGAACTTGTCTTTGAAGGGGATGTGTAGAAATACAGTTTAAGATTGCAAATCTATGTTAGTAATAAAACAAGTGATTGCAAATCTGTCCGAAAGTCCTTTCAACAGTGCATTTTAAAATTAAATAATAAATGGAAACCTCAAAGTCGTTTGCAAATCCAGATGAACAAATGAGGTCTACGGTGCGGATCTGTGGAGGAAAAGCGAAACATGCACCGACGGAAGTGGACTCCAATATGATTTGGGCGGAAAACTTTACAAGTGCGAGCCGAGTAGAAGCAATTAATGGATGAAGAAAAGAGAATTTTTAGGAGAATTTGGCAGTTAATTATTAAATTCCAAATGTAATTGTGCATTTTCCATCTATTGGATTTCGGTCTCTTGTGACTAATTAGCTTGCCTTAATTTTTAAGATATATATATATATATATATATGATTTGCCTGTTTGTTTCTTAACGAGAGTGAAGAATTTTCTCTCTTCTTTCCTCTTGTTTTGTAAAGCAAAGATTGTTCATATTTAGAGAATTAAATTGCATTGCTGACGACTTGTCTAAATTTTGTTACACCTCTAATGAGCATTTTGTATCTTTGATAGATGAAAGAAGTTGGATTATTTTCCTTGTATTTGTTTCCTTTTAGCTTATGTCTCGTTCTCATTCAAAAAAAACACTATGAGTAAAGAATGTTACTAGCTTTCACTCTAACCAATGAGACCATTAACATGGCGTCAATTTGATCCTTGGTCATCCAAAGGCATCCTCCTTCTGATAGCAAACTAATCTTTGAATTTGATATTAACGTGTTGATTGATTGTAACAATAATAATCTAGCTCATCCTTATTGGAAGTGTGATATTCTCATTGAAAATGTCCTCTTTAAAAGAGACTTTGTAAGGAATTTTCAATTTGTTTGGATTCCCAGGAAAGCTAAACAGGTTGTTGATTGGGCTGCTAAATCTTCATCAGACGGCCAGTGCCTAGCATATTGGGTGTTGAGATCCCCTCTTCCTTTGCACATGCTATTGTTTAGGTTTTATAATCAATGAATTATTTTCTGTTGGCAAAAGAGGAAAAAAGAGGCATCCTCCTCCCTCCATGAATTTCATCATGATGATGATGATGATGATGATCATAATAATAGACGTGAAGCTAGTCCCCAAAAGAAAGAAAGAAAGAAATTAAAAGATTTGAAAAAGAAGAAGAAGAAGCAGAAGATAGAAGTCATTTATAGAAGAAATGAGGGTTTCTTTGTAAGTGTTAACAATTAACTCACATTAACTCACCAATCTAGGGTCATTAGGAATGGACAAAGATAAAACGAGTCAAGCCAAATTTAAAAAAACACTTTGAAAATGGGATCCCAATAGTGAAATATATTTTAAAGATAAATGAGTTCAAATGAGGTGAAATTAAAATTTAACACATGGAAACATGAATAACAACCCAAGGCATTGCAAACTTTTAGAGGGCTACAAGGGGTCAATTTAACCCTCCCTAGCCCATCCACCTCAACTAACAATATAGAGAGTGTGTTGCCCTCTCTACGTCATGTGCTCGTGACAGTTTCATTGTTGTCATGATAGCACCAGAAGCTAAACTTTTGGCTGGCATTGTTTCATTGTTCAATGTTCAATTGGAATGATTTAAGTGTTTACACAAAAATCTTTTCAAATCCTAACTCATGGCTTTAGTTTCGCTCCAACAAAAGGACCTAAGAGGAATTTGAATATTTGGGACCAAAAGTGTCCCTTCACATAATTAAAACAATCCTAAGTATTTAATCACTCAACCATAAGCCATTAGCATCGACCAAGACCACATCAAATAAAAAAAAGAATGCTATAAATATAAAACATGTATCACAATCAACTAAGCCACAATAATACTTGATTTGACCTCCCAACTGGCCTCATAACACAATTTATGCAAGGGGTAAATCCTCATTTTTACATCGTACTCGAAACCTTCCAATGCTTCATAATATCCAACATAACATTTGATATCCTAGCCTCATCTCAAGCCTAAACCTTGAAGCATAAAAATAACCTAGAGGCAGACATTACAACATAGTTCCAAAATCAATTTAAAATGCATGATGAGTTCCTAGTTGGCAAACATTTATAATCGAGGTTTATAATTTATCCTCTACATAAAATATTAGAAGGCATTACAATTGATAACTCTAATTGTGTACTTCTGGATCTTTTCCTTTGCCACTATCCAATGCTTCACCTAAAAAAATATGAACAACGGGGAATGAGATAATCATCTCAGCAACCAAGGATTTTCTACCACCATATCTCTGAGCTTCTCAAGTAGCTCATCCTTCTATTTCTTTGTGGCTAAACCAGTTAAACTTTTGACTCCTATTCCTCCTCAACTACTCGTCTAGACACAACACTTTTAGCATGAGTACCTCTCCTCATACTGTACTATTTTCTCCCCTTCTAAGGATGAAAATGAAAAATATAAAGGATATCAAGGAAAGAGTCATGTAATGAATAATGGTAAGTTGTCATATCTCTAAATGAATGCATCAAACAATCTCAACAATTAGTCTCGAAACTCGAGAAATTGATACCAAAATGTAATCTCCTCCCATATCCTCTAGATATAGGAGAAGATTAACCAATTCACAATACACACTTAATCAAAACATAATCAAATACTTTGTTTGAAAAGCTTGAGCTTAAGATTCATTTTACAAAATCCTTAAAGTTATACTATATTAGAGTAACTCACAGCAGAAAGCAAAAGTTACATCCATAACACTTATTGCATGCATTGACAATAAAGAAATAAGGTCTGATTTTAGGCTATGTGTCGCAGTATGTAATACATGCGTCGTGGCATGTGATATAGAGCCACATGCCTGACCTTTTATGTCATACACCGCGCGTGCCAGTTTGAATTTTTTGTTGCCATTTGACATCAAAATGATGATATTTTAGCGTGTGCTGTTTTCACATACGATGTTCGATCGGAGTGATTTAAACGCCCACACAAAGCTTATTTTATAAGCTAGCTAATGAGACAGGTTTAGACACGATTTAATGGTCTAATCAAAATTTGAACATTTGGGGTGCAAAAGTCAATTTTCCTGAAAATTTTGTGCATCCAAACGCTTAAATCAATTCATTTGTCTCATTAGATTATACAAGGCCTTGAACCAAGTCCAACAGGATCTAACACACTTGACTAACCACATTTCATCATATATATTCACATACATCAAATTTGACCCCTCAATGGCCATTTTCCATGTTTCATAAATTTGGCATAACTTAATACAACTTAGCCCACTTGGCCTGTTTCACTACAAAAATCACTACTCAAACATTTACAACATAATTACAATTCAATCTTAGTCTCGAATTACTCATTTCCTCCTAATTTCACTCATGGGCCAAGATTCACCAAATTCACTACTTTCACAACATATAACTTTAAACATTCAAAGCATGCGTGTAACCTTATAGCAACTTATATATATACACACACACACACACACACACAATATTTACAAGTTTTCAGTTCATTACACAATCTTAGAGACTTTCCACGATAATGGCACCATTATGCCGATCCTATCTCTTTTCTTTTACCTTGATCACTATTTTATCTTGTAAAATTGCAACCACGGAAATGAGATAAAAATATCAATGACAGAACTTACTCCTATCGACTATCATATGCAACTATATGAAAGTATAACATAATACATAGTCAAAAATAACATATAGCATGCTTTTTTCTTTAAATCACATCCACATATATCATTTCACCATATTCATCGCTTTTTACCTCTTTTTCACATATACAGCATATAGCATGATCACTACTGATTGAACCTCCAAATCATCCCAACACGAAACCATAGGCTCGCCTTAAACTAATGTACACTCTTACTGGCCTTGAGCTCACCTTTAGTGATAGAATCACCCAAATAAAGGTGTTCTATCTCACTTTCAAACTATGATTTCTCCCGATACACACAATGAGGTGTTATTGACTCTAATACCATATCACACAGACACTAAGGAGTCTAAATCTCTAACACTGCATCTCAATAGGCACTAAGGAGATCATTTTCAACATCGCACCGCAAAAGACAGTAAGAAGGTATAATTCTCTAACGCTGCATCCCGTTGGGCACTAAAGAGAATATGACATATGGTCTTATTACCACAACTCCACACAGTGAACTCTACCCTCGAACCAATCATAGGTTCCACATTCATACATGTATTCTCAACAATAGCATATATTCATGTAAAGTATGAAATCACATGTTCTTATTCATTTACTTGATTAAAAGCCATTTTCATGCAACATTTATGTAATGCTATAAAACATGCTTAGTTTTAAACAATTTCATGCAATAAATAGAAAACTCACACACAGTTATCATACATAACTGAACAGAGAAAGTTATTCAGTTATCTCAACCCTTCTATCACTACTTGTGAATTTCAACTACCACTACAGCTTGTCACAAGCTTCCTTTCTCAATGCGCATGTGCGACATGCCAATCTAAACACAATTGGCACAATTTAGTCAATTGGTCTAATTTAATCAAAAGCACATAATTACTACTTATGGCTATAATTAGCCATATATTCTTTTCTATATATCCTTTCTAAATCCATTACTACTCGATTACCATTTTAAATCACCTTAACTGATCTCATTTTACTTAAACACAATTTTCATCCTAAAATCTCATTAAATTAGGGCCAAATTGAGCTTACAAGTTCAAAGCCTTATCGTTTAGCTCTAAACTAGTCATGGCTTTAACTTAACTCTTGAGAACCTTTTTACTACTAGTGGGCAAGAATCAAATCCCTTAAATTTCATCGATTCAATTTTTCTATAACTCATATTCAGAGAAATTTGGGTAGAAGGGAAGGTCAAGGTTATACATAGCTTATTCGCTAAGTCACTGATCAGAAGCATCTTCTAATGATCTAAAATGGCTTGCCCAGCACACCAGCCCTTCTCCTTTTCTCCTTTCGTGTGTTTTTTAATTTCTATCTCTGAAATTCACCTTAATTTCATGACTTATAGGATCATTTTCTAGTTCATGTGTTGTGGCGCAAGCAACATCTATAGCGGAGCGTGGCATGGTGAGAAGAATTCTCACTACATGCACACACTTCAATTCAAAATGCGATCCTTCCACCTATACCTGTTCATACAACATCCCAACGAGTCAAATCATTAAGTAATCATTCAAATCTCTAATCCTAAACTAATTTTCACTTTACCCTTGATTAACAGTTAATTATAAGATTAAGAAATTTAGTATGTTACACTATGCCATGTGGACTTGTATGTGTACTTTTTAATCTAGGGTGAACTCCCACTCATTCATGCCAACATAATTAACA